TAATATTAAAATGGTGGGTGGCAGATTGGTTGAGTGGCTGTGTGGTTACAGAGTGAACAAGCACGCAAGCTCATAGGCATGGGTGGATAGAGGTAAACCCTATTGGTGAAATTATTAAGGCCACTCCACTTAGTTAAAAGGAAGATTTATTTAGTGGGTAACTACAGAACCCTCTTGCTCCCAAGGCTACCCATCCTCTGGACCTGGCTGAGCAGGCTCCCCAAATGTACGAGAATGTGAGGCAGGCACACAGACCCATCGTGACACCTGCGGTGACTTCCAGCTAGAGCCTGCAGTAAGGAGACCCTGCTTACATATACACTCTACCTTGGTATTCATTGCCTTCTCTGCCTCAGTTTCCTCATCTGTCAAGCAGAACAGTGTTCCCACAAGCTCATGGGTGAAAAGAGAAAGGAGGGAGAGAAAGAGAGGGGGAGAAAGGGAGGGGAGGGAGGGAGGGAGGGAGAGAGAGAGAGAGAGAGAGAGAGAGAGAGAGAGAGAGAGAGAGTTTAAGCTCCATGATTCCTCAGGCATCAGCCTGTCTGACCCATTGGTCCTGCTTTGCAATCCTTTGTGAGATGCCTGCTCTATGGCATGTACTGTGCTGGACACTGTAGGTTCAGGGAACAAAGGCAGTTCAGACCTGAGGTAGAATGATCAGAATCCACAAAGCTGAGATTGACTGGAGCGGAGGAGGGCAAGGGCGGTGCTTGGAGGACTCGGTGAGGCAGGTGGTTTGTATACTGGGTAATGATGCTCTGTTTGTGTGTGGCGGGGTTAAGGATGCTCTGTGTGTGTGGGGGGGGTAAGGGTGCTGTGTGTGTGTGTGTGTGTGTGTGTGTGTGTGTGTGTGTGTGTGTGTGTGTGTGTTTAGCCTGGTGGATGGCACGGGACAGATAGATTCTCACTGAGTTTAGCTGTACCTGTGCTCCACACTAGACTACATCCAACTACCTGGGTTTCCAGCACGTTCTGCCAAGGCCAGACCTTATCTTGTCATCTAGACTGTCCCCAACGTATCAAAGCAGGCAGCACACGCAAGGCAGGGCAGGTGCTTGACAAGAATGTGAATCATGTCCCACCACCCAAACCTGTGATGAATGCTGTGCATTTTGTGAAAAGTCTGCTTCTACCTTGGAAAGGAAAGAGTTTGATATCTGTCTAGAACAATCTGGAAGCAACTTCAGCTTTAAATGGGCTCAGAGAGTCAGGAAGTGTGTGCTTCTCCCCTGTCCCCCAAAACTGTAGCTAGAGAAGAAAACCCACAAGCCAACCCTCCTTCCCCCATGGCAAACCAGCCTTTAAATTGTCAGCCATAGTTCCGCAGGTGGCTTCTGATGTCTTCCTTTTTAATGATCCTGAAGGTAGCCAACCTAGATCACAGATGTTAGAATAAAAAACCCAAGTGCGATGGAAATCCCATCTCTGGTACATTGTGCAAAGAGGTTAACTGTGGGGGTAGTTTTAGCTTGAACCTCCCACTGTGGGAGGCAATAAGTTTATACCAGCCATATATTTTGCAAGCTCCAAGACCTCAACCCCAAGCAGAGATGATTCTCATAAACCTCCTATGCCCATGCAGACCCTGCCCCCTCAGCACCACTTCCTTCTCCCACTTGCATCAGTGGGTCTGGGAGGGGATGCTTCAACTGCACAGCCAATCCGGGTCAGTGGGCTACAAGCAAGGGAGTCTCACCCAAGTTGAAAACCACACAGTAAAGATCCTTTAAGGAGAGCTACAAGTGGCAGCAACCTGGAAGCCCCTGGAAAGAATGGGCACCAGGACTGGACCTGATTAAGAGGGCAGTTGTTATGTGCAGGACTCCCCAGAGAGCTAGGACCAGAGTCCATGTCATAGCCTCCAAAGTCTTGCATGAAGGCCTAGCCACAGCTTTGAAATGAAGTAGTAATTATGTACGTTTTGAGAATCCATTTCCCAGAGGAAGCCAATAACTGCTTCTAAGAAGCACCATTCACTAGCCAGCTTCAGGGTTCCTGCCACAACCAGAGTGTTGGGTGCAGAGTTGACACACATGCACACTAGAAATCACCCAAACGTAGGTGAAAAAGGAAAACTGTGAAAATGAGCCTCCTTTTTGCCAACATCATGCCCAATAGAAGATGAAGATGATTCCTTTGGGGGCTGGCTTCTATCCTGGACTTAACAGCACTTTCATTTGCATTTGTATTTAAAAAAAAATAAAAGAAAACACACAAGAGTAACCGTAAAGGTGCTTTGTCTCCTACAGATGTAAGTGCTTCTGTGGATGACTGAGAGGACCAGGTAGCGAGAGGCTCAGCCAGTCAAAAGCAAGCACATAGATTCAGCACCTACTAAGCAATGCAGTGTGCAGGACTGGAGTAAGGATCCTGCATGCCCACAGCTGATGAGGAAAGGCCACTTGCCAATGGTTATTATATAATAGCCCTTCTCCAGGTGGGGAAACTGAGGCTGGAGGTCAGAAAATGGCATCACTGTAGTCTTCCTATATGGCAGGCTCTAGATTTCACTCTTTGCACTCAAGCACAGATGCCTTAGGACATATGTATGTGTGTGCATGTATGCAGGTATGTATGAATGCATGCAAGTAAGTGTGTAGATGCATGTGGGATGTGTGTGCATGTCTGGATGTGTATCTCTCTGCATGCATGTGCCTGCATGTGTGTATATATGCATGCAAGTATGTATATGTGTACATGCATGTATGGGTACATGTGTATGTATGGGTACATGGGGGTATGCATGTGTGCATGTATGCAAGTGAGTGAGTGTGTATGTATGTGCATGCATACGTGTACATGTGTGTGAGAGTATTATGTTTATGTGTGTGTTAGTACATGTATGTAAGTGTATTGTGCATGCATATGAATATGCATGAGAGTGTGGGTGTTTGTATGTATATGCATTTATGTGTATGCATGCATGCATATGAATATGCATGAGTGTGGATGTATGTGTGCATGTGTATGCATGCATGCATGCATATGAATATGCATGAGTGTGGATGTATGTGTGTATATGCATGTGTATGCATGCATGCATATGAATATGCATGAGTGTGGATGTATGTGTGCATGTGCATGTGTATGCACATGAAAACGTGTGTGTGTGTGTGTGTGTGTGTGTGTGTGTGTGTGTGTGTTTCCAATGTTTTCCTCAAATCAGTAGAAAACCCAATAAAGGAAATGAGAAAAACCAACATATTTCTCTTTCTCAAGTGGCCCTGATCCTGTCTTGATGAGAGCCCCTTGTCTGGGGGGGCTAAGACAGCAGTTGCTTTTAGCTTCTCTTCCCTTGGAGTTCAAATATTAGAAGCTTCTGTCCTGTACTGCCAATCATATCAATAAAGGAGGCATACCCCAATGAGAGCTTCCTCAACCTCAATTACTTTTTTAAGGAATGCTGCAACATGACTGTGCTTGCTTTTAACCCCAGCCCTCTCCCTGTGTCACCCACATCTTGGGACGAGTCAACGGTTTTCTGTGCTGGTTTTACTACAGGGAACCAGCCTGAAAAATAAATCCCCCTGTTTCAGAGCTGGATCACAAAAGGCACTTTTAGGGGACCATGGAATTTCTCCCCTCCATCTATGTCACAGGCATATTCTTGCCTCCCAGCAAAGATACCTGCCACCAGAACCAATGACTTGCACATCTGTGTATCACCACCACAGTTCAAAGACAGAAATGACGCAGTGACCTGCTGGTCTCTTCTCCAACCTGGCAAAACTGGTTATGTGGACAACGGAAGGCTGACTTCCTTGCCTCAAACATAAAAACCTGCACCAATTTAGCACATATTTTTAAAATGCAACTCTTAAAAAGTCCTTTCAAGCAAGAAAGAAAGAGTCTGTCCTGGGTTGGTGTTTCCTGTTGCATATGGCACCCTGAAACCCTGTGTCTTTCCACCCTCCCCCCCCCTTCCAGTAATGCAGAGCTTTTCAGGAAAAAAAAAGTATCATAGGAATATTAGAGGGAGGTCTGGGAAAGGAAGATGGATTCTCATAAGGGGCAAAAGAGTCAACATTCTGGTCCTCACAGATCTAAGGAGATGGCCCTAGGCATTCTGCCATGACAGGGCAAGTGGCCAGCCAGAGACACCATTCTGCCTCCTACCAGAAGGGCATCTACCCCATCTTCTGGGATGAAGTGTGGCACTCAGATTTCCACAGGTCTTCATGTGCCAATCTAGAGGTGTCTCCCAACCCCAGCCTCAGTGGGGTACAGCCATAGGGAGCCACCAGAGACTGCTCTGTGGACAGTAACCTGAGTGTGGGAACCTATAAGCAATCCCATCTGTACCAGACTCTTTCCCAGAGTGAGTTAAACTCCCCCACCCCGTTTTCAAACAACATCCAGACTCTTTTTGATCCACACCCACTGCCCTATCCAACCCACCAGGACCGCATTGCAGGTCACCTGCTGCCAACCCCATCCCAACCAAAGAAGAGCAAACTCTTCTTCTGGGACCTAACACACTCCACAACTCAAAGGAAGGATAATGGGTGCTGAAATCTTGGCTCCCAAAAGGCCCCCAGATGAGGAAGGATCAGTACCAATACCACCTATAACCTCCTAAGCAGCCCCTGTCACCAAGCCATCTTTGTCCCAAATTCCCCAAGAGGTAGTAAGTGTAAGGCTTGGAACCCACTTAGGGAAGCGCAGCCCGCACAGGGGTGTTGTGGTGGGTGGGTGTCGGTTGTGGGATTATTCTTAGCGCGCCACTCTTGGCAAAAGTAGGCACCTCCACCCTCAAGACAACAGCACTCTGTCTCTGGGGGTTTACAAGCCTGGCCCAGACACCAGAGCAGTGTGGGGCACCAGATAGGATTCCCTGGAGGAGTGAGATCATCCCCTGAGGGATGAGATCCAGAAACAGGGGCCGGTCTGGAAGCTGGGAGCCCCCCACCCAGCCTTACACAGCGCGCACTACTTCCCCACTTCCCCGGGACTCCTCCCGTGTCTCCCACGAGCCCGGTGGCGGCGCACCCACTATTTACCTATAGTTGTGATGACGGTGATGGCAAAGTAGAAGGAACCCGCGAATTTCCACTGGACACCAGAGCGGTGGGGCTCAGACTGCAGGATCACCAGCTCCAGCTGATGGTAGTCATCAGAGCTGATGTTGTACTTGCCTCTGATACGGACTTCTTCGGCCTTAAGTTTCTCCTCCTCGCGCATCTCGTGGTCAGACTCTAGGGCGTCGAACACGGCGGCACCCACCAGCAGGTAGGTGAAGGTACAGAGGATCAGGGACACGGTACGCACGTTCTGCCGCTTCATGGCTGCTAGGAGGGAGCTGCCAAGTATGAAAGAAACCAAAGGACCGCTCTTATCCCAATGCAGCGCCGCGCGGACGAAGCCTGCTCTGCGTTCGAGTCGAAGTTGTAAGCGGTGGTAACAGCAGAGCCCGCAGCTGATGGTGGAAATGTTGGCCTCATCTTCGGGCTCTTCACCGTCCCGAACTTCAACACCTTCAAGCTGAGGAGCGTTCTCGGGTTCTGCGGGATCCCCGGTCTCAATGACCACACAGGACTCACCGGACGCGGCAGGTTTCGCGGGCTGAGCGGGCTGAGCGGACGTCCCGGGCTCGGCAGGCTCGGCGGACTCTGCGGGCGCAGCGGACTCTGCAGGCGCAGCGGGTTCCGCGGGCGCAGCGGGTTCCGCGGGCTCAGCGGGTTCCGCGGGCACAGCGGGTTCCGCGGGCTCAGCCGGTTCCTCGGGCGCAGCGGGTTCCGCGGGCGCAGAGGGTTCCGCGGGCTCAGCGGGTTCCGCGGGCTCAGAGGGTTCCGCGGGCGCTGCGGGTTCCGCGGGCGCAGCCGGTTCCGGGGGCGCAGCCGGTTCCGGGGGCGCAGCCGGTTCCACGGGCACAACGAGCTCCACGGGCACAACGAGCTCTGCGGGCCCTACGGGCGCACCCAGGGCAGTTGATTCCGCGAACTCAACGGGGTCCGCGGGCGTGGTGATCACCACTGGGATAGGCATGAGGGTAGGCAGGTTTATGGCATCGCTAGAGCGGGGAGGCCAGCGCTCCTGGACCCGGGTCACCCTACGCCAGGCCTGGGTCAGGCGGCTTGCCCCAGTGAGGATAGTCGTGCGTAAGGATGACCCACGCTCGTTCCGCGCGGGCTGCGTGGTCCTCGGTACCTGGCCCCTCGAGCCCGCGGGCCGGGCTGGGGCAGGATCAGGATCAGGATCCGGGACAGAGGGCGACCCGGGGAGAGGTTCCCCATCCCTCTGGATGCGTTCCCCGGCTAGCGGGGCCCAGCGAATCCCCTCCAGGGTGGCGGTTGCCCCGCGGGCACCAACTTCTTCCTCTAGCTTTCCTCACCCCCTTGGGTTGGGGGAACAGAAAAGTTTGCTAAGTGAAGATGTCTCTAGAATCCCCTGCAAGCAGGGAGAGAGAGTCTATCTAGCAGGTGCAACCGGCAAGGCAGCCCGATGCCCCAAGGTCCGAAAGCCCACCTGGGCGCGCGGGGCACGCGGGGTGCCCGCCGCGCGACAGCCGATCTGCGAAGTTTGTTTCACTCAGCCTCCGAAGCTCAGGAACAGGGCGAAGTCCAAGACAGGAGCTGCGACGGAGCTACCTCGGGGGCGACGAGGGAACTGCGCGGCCGGCCAGCCAGCCAGCTCCTCCCGGGGCGGCCGGCGAGGTGGCGGCGGCGGGGCGGGAGTGGTCCCGCGGGCCTGGAGGAACTGAAGGGTAGGGATAGGGACGGGCAAAGGAGAATCAGCCGCGGGAAGATCCCGAGACTCTGGCGTCCAGGAGTCCAGAGAGGCAGCCGCCGCTCTGGTCTGCCTGAGGCGCTGTGCGTGCGCGCCGGAGGGAGCCTGAGTGTATGTATTCGCGGGTGTGCGTGCGCGCGTGTTTGCGTTTGACGGCCCCGCTCCGGCGGGAGGGACGGGGGCGGACGGGGGGGGGGCAGGCTACTCCGAGGACCGGCTTCCCTCCCTCCTCTCCTCCTCTCTTCTCATCTCTTCTCTGCCTTCCTCTCTCCCTCCCCCCTCCCTCCCTCCTGCAGCCTCCGGGTCGCGCCACCTCCCGCCTGGTCCCCAGCCAGCTGGAGAGGCGTCAGTGGCGGCTCCTGCAGCAGACTTAGTGCTGCGCACGGGGCTTGCTATGGAGCCTAGGAGAGGTGGCCTGAGGGGGAGGGAGAGGGGTAGAACTGAGTGCCGCCTGGGTTTTGGCTGGGATGGGTGGATAAACACGAATGCTTGGGTCCCTTCTAGCACTGCTCCCCTAAGAGCGCACACAGCCTTGGCAAAGTGGAGAGTTTTGAGAAACCCCGCAGCTGAAGATGAGAAACAAATTCGGCCAGTGGAGGCAAATTAGAGTCTGAACAGAGAAAAGGGGAGCGTGAGGAATAGATGAGGAAGGGGCTATGAGCACTTGGGAGTGCAGCAGCAGTTGCCTCGCGGTCCCCCCCCCATACTCGCGCGCACGCGCACGGGAGCACACACACACACACACACACACACACACACACACACACTTCCAGCTGCAGCAGCCACCTGGCACAGCAGCACCCTACTGGCTGGGGCACTGCCTCCTAGAGTGTTGGCGTTTTGATAGCCTCCTCAGTCCCCATGGTGGGATGCTGGATGCATCTCCGGTGGTCCTGCACCTGCTGACCCCAGCTACTTTCCCCTAGAGTTCTGGTGAATAGTGCAGACCACCACTCTTAGACACACACACACACACACACACACACACACACACACACACACACACACACACCTCAAGAAGGGAAGGACGGGAATTCGCATTCGCCCTCTCCCTCAGTACCCTCCCTGCTTCTTCTCGAATCATTTCTTGTCTCTGTGGCAGAGGAGAGGAGTGCAGAGAGCGTCCCTCCAGCGAACCGCCGCGAAGTTCACCCACTAAGTTCAGGCTTGGGGATGGGACAAGTGCATCTTGCCAAGGAGCAGCTAGTCTTAGCATACAGGGAAGAAGCCCAGATTTCTCTCTTTAGGTCTCCGGATCCCCCACCCATCCATCTCTCTTTAGGTCGCCCAGAGAGAGGTTTTCTCGCTCCCAAAACACCCCTAGAGCAGTGTTGCTGCCAACCGGGACTTTAAAACCAAAGTCTTGAGACCCCGGGACTTGCTTTCCTTGGCTAGGTTATCTTCTCTGTCTCTAGCTGAGGAAGAGATGCAGATGGAGGGATCTGGTGATCACTCCCCCCCCCCCCCGCTCAATAGCAAAGAGGCTGGAGCTAGAAGCTGACCACGGAGATAGGAGCAGCCTGTAAATCAGACCCAGCTTTTGAGTTCGAAAATATAGAAGTCCTATGTTCTTCAGTCTCCCGGACTATACCCCCGACCTCTGTCTACCCAGACTCAGCCCAGTGGGTTTGGGGCTTCATGTAGGCTCCCAGGCAAAAAAGCTTTTTACCCAAATTCAAAGGCTTGTGGGTGCACCACAAGGCAGGGGCGTCGGCGCTGTGCGCTATGTCTGGACAGTCATGTCTCCGTGAGGTCTTCGGGTACCCGAATGGGAAGCCCCACTAGAGTAGGTGCGCTCCCCAAAATTCGTTTTAGACTCCAAGACCCAAGACCCCCCCCCCTACCCCCGCCCAGTGCTTGGCAAGTGAGCCTGGCTGCGGGGTGAGTCACCACAAGCGAGCGACAAGGATTCCCAGCAACTGGTAATTAATTGAGCCATGGCTCAGCCCACGACGGAACCCCAATCAGGCCTCCTGCAGCTCTGGCAGTGGTGGCACCCTGAGTCACGGGGGCCGTCGGGCCTCCAAGGGGTCCTAAAGGGCTTGTGTACCTTTCGGGTACACTAGGGGGCGCTGGACTCCGACCCACAGATCTGCCCACTTTGGAGCCAACCAGACTGCAGCTGAAGTCCAAGCTGTCCCCAAAGGCGAGTGTAGGAGCGGGGAGGAGGCGGGTATGGGCTGAGCTCAGAGGACAGGATTCCAGGCTTTGCGCAGAGACGCTTGTATTCGGTTTACAAAGCTCCAGTTACACGCAGTCCTTCGGGCGGGGGGGGCGGGGGGAGGAATGGAAGGGAACTTCAGCTTGAAATTATCCCAAACCCCTTGTTTTATAGGTGAAGGAAAGGGCCTCCTGTCCAAGACACAGGATTACTCCCATCTAGAACCAACTGTCCCCAGACTTCTTTCCAGCTTTCCCTCCAGGCCTCCAGTGTTTGTTTGTTTGTTTGTTTGTTTCAGTCCTAAGGTCCCGGTCCACACCCCACAACCCAGTCCTTGAAGGTCTTTTGACTGCCGGCGAAACTGGGGCTCCTTGGAGGGGAGCCTGGGTCCTGACTATTCTGCCGGAATCCCTAGTACCCATTCTCAAGAAAGATGCTCAGCTCCCACTACAGGTTGATACCCAGACAGCACAAGAAGGGTGACAGCACCTCTCTCTCTGCCCCAGGGATGGTTCTGAGAGTCCCAACTCCCAGGGTTGGGTGCTGAGCCCAGGGATTTTTTTTTTCAATGCTAGGAAAAAAAATCTTTAATGGTAAAATGTCATTATCATTTGGATAATTGCCAAGGAAGCTCAGAAATTCTCCCTGACATTGTCTGGCATGGGTTCACCTGTCCACCTTTGATTCAGTGGCAGCTCTCCTCCCTGGGTAGGGCTGCAGGTTGGTAAGTGTAACCCTGAGTCATCTTGACTAGACTTGGGCATGACTAAGAGGTCCAGGGAAGAGCAGAGACAGAGGGAGGAGAAGGCATTGAGGACATCGATACAGGGCACAGCTGTGGCCGATGAGTGGGCACGCAGCTTCTCGGTGCCCCTTCAAAAGTCAATCCTTAGACCTCCTTGCACTCTGGGTCTTTCTTTAATAAAAGCAGATGCATCTTAATAGCTAATAAAACACATCGTGGTTTTTATAACTCTGCCGCCTACTTGTTTGTTCTGTTCTGTACACACAGTGGGCGTGTCTGCAGCCCTTTCCCAGAGAGAGGCCAGTGGGACAGCAGCATCTTCTGGCCCCACCATGAAGAAGGAAGGGAGGATGCAACTCCTGGGCCAGTACTTCATCACATCCCCACTGTGTGTCTGGCCACAGGGCCTGAAGCTGGAGAAAGGGAGGGAGGTACAGTACTCTGTTCCAAGTATGCCAGGCTGATGCCACTGTTGGCCCAGGGCAGTTTCTTTCTGCTGGAAGGAAACCAGAGCTGCCAATGGCTCCCTGAACATTCTGAGTCCTTGGGGAGTGCCAAATGCTTCATGACAATTGCGTCTCCATCTTTGAATGTGGGCAGAGGGTACAGAACCATCACCACTTTCCACGGGTGAGGGTGAGTTCTCTCATAGCCCCCACTTGAAGAAAGAGCAGCAGCGTGAAGTCTTCCCACCCTGGAACCCCGTGATGGTTAATAGTGACTGTCTACTTGATAGACTCTAGACTGGACTAGGCTTTGGGCACACCTGTGAGGGGTTACCTAGGTTACATTCATTGATGTAGGAAGACTCAACCTTCACTGTGAGCAGCACACTCTTTGGGCAGGATTCCTGGGCTGACTAAAAGGGAAAGAATGAGCTGAGCATTAGCATTCATTCCTGCTTCCTGATTGTGGATGTAATATGAGCAGCTACCTCAAGCTCCTACCACTATGCTGTCCTTGTGATGATAGCTATCTACCAAAATAAGGACTGTGAGCCAAAATAAGCCTTCCCCTCCTCAAGTTGGCTTTTTGGTTTTTCCTCCCTCAGAGTAGTTTGTGCTACCAACAGGAAAAGGAACTGATATAAGCCCTAAGAAGAGGATTCCCCCTCCAGCCTTTGGCAAGCTCCAAAGCCATGCAATTTGCACAGTTGGTAGTCTTTACTTTAGTCTTCCAGCAGTGTCAGGTTCCAGAGAAAAGCACATCCACTGTGGGGCAAGAAGCTTACCCCGTATTTCCAAGACTCTTCTTGGTATATGAGCAAGTATGTTCCGTAGCCACACTGTTTCACCGACACTGGGTTAAACGGTGGAGCACGGGTCTTCTTAGAGGCGTTGGTCTACTAACAGGGATCACCACCCCCACAGAGTAGTACTGTGATTAGAGTTTTCCAAATTCACTCAGTGGTAGGACTGCCTATGGGTGAAGGAACACCAGGTCTTAGGAACCCATTTTGGAAGCCACTGACCCAAGCTAAAGATCTGGGCACAGGGAAGTTGGCAGCTTGGGTTCTGGGGACCTCATGTTAGACTTAGCATCTCCGTTGATTTCAACCAGGATCTATGGCACAGTCTGGAGCACCTACCAGGGTCCGGCAGCTTCCCTCTGCCTGGGTTCCCACCTGCAGCTCAGCTGCACACATCTGTCTCTCTGTCAGGAGGCCAGAGCTCTTTTTTGACCAGACGGACCTTGCATGTCCATGCTGAAAATCCACCAGTAGGGCACATCCCCTCTTTTCATCATTCCGACCCTTAAACCCAGGCTCCTGCAGCTCCTCTCATTGGAGTTGCTGTTGTTTGCCTGCTAAAAATGCACTCTGGTGCTACATCTGGTGCCACTAAGCAATTTCTCTGTTCCCCAGGTTGGAGTGTCATGTCTGAGGGGGACCCACTCATTGTTATAGTTGGAGAAGTCCGAATGAAGACCCTGGAAAGCCGCTCTTGTTGTCCCTGGATAGTAAGGAGCCAAGGTATCTGAAATTAACACAATGGTAGGGACTGCAGGAATGGCAGGTTGGGTTATATTCCCCCTCCCCTTTTTTTTTAAAGCAGGCATGAGCCACAAGGGTGAGACCACGTGATGATATGATGGCATAAAGATTGATAAGGAAGATGGGAACTTCCAGACCCTGGTACCCAGCAGGTGCCCCAGCTTTTTTGTGGCTAATGGGGTTAAATCCGAAAGATGCTGAAATGAGTCCCCGGAGTCTGGTGCCAACAATGTGAACACCAGAAGTAACAAAGAAAGGAAGATGGTTTAGAGCTTCT